GGGAGGGATGGGGGGTGGGTGCAGGGCAGGGCTGGGGGAGATATGGGGGCTGGGTGTGGGGTGCAAGCTAAGCCCAGGGCAGGAACTTTGTGTTACTTTCGCTTTCCTTTGGGCTGCTGGACCCACCCTGGGCTGGGGTCCCTCCTGGTCCCACAGTGGCACCGAGGGCCCCGCTCCCTGCAATGGGCTGAAACCCTCCCTGTGGTCCCCCCCCCCATCCTCCCACACCGGCCCTTCCTGCACGTCAGAGGTACAGCTGCAATACCTGTGCAAGGGGGGGGGTGGCAGAGTCACTGGTTCTGCCGGCATCTGATTGCCCAGCCCCATCCGACCTGAATAAAACCCTGGCTTGTAACATACTGAAATCACAAGGGGGGCTCCCTAGGGTGAGGTGCCAAGGGCTGGCCCAGAAGTTCACCCTGTTTGCCTGGGCGAATGCCTTATGCTGGCCTTGGCAACATTGGCTTCATAAAGGATCCAGTCCCTGTAGCGTCTTTACAGGGAGCAGCTGCAGCTCGCCATGGAAGGGGAGCTGGGGGTGAGGTGTTGGGGGCTGAAGCAGGACAGGGCAGGAGGAGAGGAAGCAGAGCCAGTGCCAGGGTCAGGCAGGTGCTTTCACTTTCTGTTGCTGTTGCCTGGGGAAGTCCCTGGATGGTTTCTGGGAAACCAGAGGCAGGAGGTGTGGCTGTCAGGGGCTGCTGGCCAGCCTGGGAGTGGCTCTTGCTTCTGGAGCGACCTGTTTCGGGAGACAGCAAATCTCTTGGGATGGGGAACCCCCATGTAGCCTGAGGGTCCTTCATCAGCTGGGATGCCCCACTAGGGGAGGTGAGTAGCTGGGTGGCTAGCAGTAGGCGGCTCTGTGGCTTATTTGCCTTTGGGAGCAGGAAGTGCACCCCCCCCCCATTTCAGTGTGTTTCTGAGAGATGAGTCTGGGGCGACACTGTGTTTCCTGTTACCTGGGTGCTTGTGCGGCCGCTCAGGAGAGATTTCAGTGCCGCTCCGCTGAATAGCAGAGCACCCACAGCTGGGTTTGTGTTTCGATTGGTGGTGCACACCCGCACCTGCCTTGGTGCATGCTACAAATATTCTGCATGGGGATGGGAAAGATTCAAAAGCTCCAGAGGTGGGCGGAGCTAAGCTCTGCCCTTGGCTGCTGGGGCCAGGTTGTGGGGAGATAACAGGCAAGGGAGGGTGGCTCTCAGGGGTGCCAATCGCAAGGGTTTGAGGCGGTTGCCTAATGTGCAAGTGCCAACACCTTGGTGGACAATGCTCTGTAGGTCCCGGAGCAATGGCCAGCCCCTTGGGAGCAATGCTCCCACACAAAAACATTACAGCTGCTACCAGAGTGTTGCCCCTCTGTCGCCAACACTGCTCCCATGGGGAGGGCTGGGCTGGGGCTGCCGCTGGGGGGTGAAACATGAACCCACCACCCTGTGCTCCCCAAGTGAAGGCCCCATCCCCTAGGCCACCTCAGAACCCACCCCATGTCTCTACCTTCAGTGGGTCCCTTATCCTGCCTTCCTAATATGGGAGCCAGGTGCCAAGTGCATTCCTGGAGCAGTCTGTGTTGGATGTCTAGCCCCTCACAGGGTGGAGTGGGGCTTCAGGTGGGGGGAGGGACTTGCACCCAGGCAAATGCTGTATGCCCTAAGCCACTCCAGTGAGGACTGAGTGACGTTGCAGCCTGACACACCCAGTGTCACAGTACCACCCAAATTTGATCTGACTGCCCCTCTCCCCCTGCCCCGTCCAGAGGGAGGGGCTGCTGGCCAGATGGTGTTGTGACCTGGTGCCTGGCTACTCTGTTCCTGAACAGCAGAGCGCAGGGCAATCTGGGACTCCTGGCAGCACCTACTGGGTGGGTAAGGCCAAGGGAGACGCCAGGTCAGAGTAATAGAGTTTAAGGCCAGAAGGGACCACTAGTTCATCTAGACTGACCCACCCACTAAACCCAACAACTAAAATGAGATCAAAATATCACAGCCTATAGGAGGCTTTGCTACTAGGTGTCCCAGGAAGAGACGGGGAGGGAGCAGTGCATGAGACCCTTACAATGGCAGGGAAATGATGAAGTGAGCGATGTCCAATCATCTGAGCAAGTGGCCCATCCCCCAAGTCAGCTGAGGAAGACAGAAACCCCCCATGTCCCTGCCAGTATGACCTGAGGGGACAATTCCTTCCTGACCCCACATATGATGATCAGTTAAACCCTGAGCATGTGAGCAGCACCCAGCCGGCCAAGCCCCGGAGAAACTCATCTGTCCAGTGTCCCATCTCCAGCTGTGGCCATACCTGATGGTTCAAATGAAGGGAAAAAACTCGTACAGAATACATTGGGAAGGAGGGGGGTAGCCCTTCCTGGCCCCTGCCAGTGTCTGAACCCTGAAGCATAAGCCTCAGGAACGCAAGACATTGACCAGAATTGAGCCCCAAGGCTGCTGACCCAGTGTTCACAATCACAAGCAGCCTTGCCATATGGCCACGCTCCTAAATTTACCCAGTGGAAGGGGTGACGAATGGGCATTAGAGTGGGTCCCTGCTGAGGGTGTGGGAGACAGGATCTGGAATCCCCCCTGCAAAGATCTGAGTTGGTGCCACTGGTGGTTTGGCTCATGCTGCTCCATGGGGATGGTTGGGGCTTGCTGGAGAGGTGGGAATCTGAGGCCAGTAGGGGTGGCAACTTTAGGAGCAAAAGGCAGGGGCCAGTTGGGGGGCAGCTCTGAGGTGGGAGACCTGATACCTGGGCTCTGCCCCGCTGCAGGAGCTGGACGACTTGAAGAGGTCGGGGTTCCGCTGCTTGAAGGACATCGAGGTGGACGACACCAACGTTCTTCTGTGGAAGGCGCTCCTGCTGCCGGTGAGTGTGGAGACTGGGAGATGGGAGGAGCAGGGGCTGCCTGCCCCAAGGGGGTCTGCGCTGGGTTCAGATGGGGGCAAGCCCCCAGTTCTGCCTTGGGATGTTTGCTGGCTCTGTAGCTTCCTGCCCAGTCTCTCCTGCCCTGTGTCCAGGACAATCCTCCGTACAACAAAGGCGCTTTCCGCATCGAGATCAGCTTCCCAGCCGAGTACCCCTTCAAGCCCCCCAAGGTCACCTTCAAAACAAAGATCTACCACCCCAATGTGGACGAGAAGGGGCAGGTCTGCCTGCCCATCATCAGCGCTGAGAACTGGAAACCCGCCACCAAGGCGGATCAAGGTACGTGCCCTCCTGTGACACATACACGCCTCCAGGGAGCCCATGAAGCACGAGGTTCGGGGGTGACAGCAAGGGTGGCAGCCACATAGCTGCAGGCGTGAGCGAGGACGGTGGTGTGGGGCAGCAGGGGTGCCAGGGCTAGCATGAGTAGGTGAGGCAGGTGCCCTGCGGAGCGGCTGGTGGTGGTAGAGCTGGTGTGGGGCAGCAGCCTCCTGCATTGCTCCGTGCCACGCTGACCCCTCCTTCGTGCCACGCTGACCCCTCCTTCCTGCTGCAGTGATCCAGGCCCTGATCGCACTGGTGCACGAGCCGGAGCCGGAACACCCCCTGCGTGCCGACCTGGCCGAGGAGTTCAGCCAGGACCCCAAGCGGTTCCTGCGCAACGCCGAGGATCACACCCGCAAATTCAGCGAGAAGCGGCCCTGCGAGTGACCCGCCTTTGCTCTGCAGCCCCTGCCTGCTCCTGGAGGGGGGGTGCAGCTTCCCTAGGTGGGGGTGGGGCCTCTGCACCCAGCGGGTGAGGTGTAGTGGGGTGGGCAGGACCAAGGTGGCTCCTCCATCATTGCTTGCCGTCATGGCAGTGGGTCCCTTGGCGTTCTGGGGCATGTGCCCCACCCCCTGCCTGGACTAAGGGGGTACCCATCACCTCGCTGACACTGTTCTCACTTGGGGGGGGGGCCCTGAAGCCCAGGTGGGTGGGGCATTGAATTTGGGTGCATGGGCTTTTCTGTTCCCTGCATACACCACAAACCCCATTGTCTCTGTCCATCCTGGTTTGGTTTGTCACCTGGCACTTTCAAACCTCAGCTGCAAAGCCCAGGGGCAGCCCAGAGCTTTGTGGGGGAGGGCACGGCAGCCCCAAATTGCCTTGCCTGCCCCCAGACCCATACAGACTGGAAGAGACGACAGGGATGTGAATGGGGTGGGGGGTGAAATGCTCCATTGGGTCCAGCAGAGCAGGTGACCGGAGCTGCGTGCAGGGGTCAGGCTGGAGGACAATTCTGGGTTGAAATCATGTGATGACAAATGTTTTTTAAAATAGCCTTTTGGTGGGGGAGATGAGAAATAACCTCCTCTTTCTGGCCAATAAAAACGGACCATGATTCCACCACTCCTGGGTGCTGTGGCCTGCGCCTGTCCCCCGCCTTGGTTGATTTCCCAGACAGCTGCCTTCCCTGCCCAGCCTGGGGGGCGGGGGGGGGGGG